TCAGTGGATTGATGTTGTTGCTGTTTTGTTGTACATTGTTGCTTGGTTTTGCTCTGTCTTGTTTTTGTGCATGTTGTTGTCTCCGCAGGCCGGTCTGGATAGGAAAGGCTGGATGAACAATCTGGAGGAGAAAACAATGGGACTGACAGTTCCGGGGGGACATGGGAGAGGGGAAGGTGGGGGGAAGGGAAGCGGTGTTAGACTGAATTTTTAAGGTGATGACTTAAAATTTTATATTTCATGTTGTCACTTGATGCACAGACAGAGTCAAAGTGATAATACAATGTGAAATTCTAACCCAAAGCAGCACAGTGAGGCCCAACTTGAAAAATCCATAAGGCTAATTCTAGACTATAAGGAAGCCCTGGGAAGAATGGATACATTGTGAAGATTCTGGCATTTATCAATTAGCTAGTGAAAGAAAAAAGCAGATGGGATTTTAGCCAGTTGACAATTGGCCTATTTTTAATTTAGATTGTAAGCAAGAGAAAGAGCTGTTTATAATCAGCCAAAATCACAGTAGTGATCAAGATACATCCTGGAGCAAATTCAGAGTGTTTGGAAGCTCCCCAAAAGCCCTACTATGTAGTGTACTGTGCACTGATGTGCCAAAAACTTGAATAGCTGAAAAGATTTCATACATCTCTTAACTGCTAGCCTACTTCCAGACACTCCGACAATGACTGCAATGTTAAACTCTGGTCACAAGAAGAATTTTTCAGTCCAACGAGGAAAATCTCATCATTTACCATTGGAATCATAGGCACTGGCTAAAATGTAGTTTAACGGGTGTTTTAAGTATCGAAATTGCCTAATAGTGTATTTTTACAGCACTAGACTACGCAGAGGAATGCTGGTTCCCTAGATGATATCGAATAAACTTTTCTTCATCTCTGCTGCATTAACAGCCACACCTTTTAGAAACGTAGGGCCCTAACACTGGCACTATATAATTATGAGAACCCTGGATAACCCTCTAAGTTCTGAGGCTTTGGTTTTACTTTTGTTGGGTTTACTTTGAAATTTGTATCTCAATGATTCTTTTTCTAGCTCTGTGTACTCAATGTTTCCTTCTCACTCAATGCCATTGAATCAATGATTCAAGGTGACCCTTTCTGAGTTTCTGACACTGTAACTGTTTAGGGGAGTAGAAAGCTCAGTCTTTCTCCCAGAGCTGCTGGTGGTTTTGAACTGCTGGAGCCCAACATGTAACCACTACACCACCGGGGCTCCATTAATTTCTCCTTGAAACTTGCTAAATAGTAACAGCACAACTGAGCCCTTTTAGTTGTGCCAACTCTTACATTAGGTTTAGTTCACAAGATAAAGCAAATCCATGTTATTCCCAAGTGGTGATATGTAAGCGTCAAGGGGAATTCGGGTATCCATACTGTCTCCAGACAGACAAGGCTATTTGTAAAGGTCTTCCTTGGTTTTGAGGATGCCAAAGAGGAATATAGCACACACTTGATGGCAAGCTAATCACTATCCCTACCAACACCAAGCCAGTTGCCATCATTGATTCCAACATGACGGTGTATAGTATACACCTTAGGGTTTCCAATGCTGTAATTTTTACAGCGCTGGTGGTGTAGTGGGTTATGCCTTGGGCTACTAATCAAAAGGTCAGCAGTTCAAAATCACCAGCCACTCTTTGGGACAAAGATGAGGCTTTCTACTCCAGTGAAGAGTCACAGTCTTGGAAACCCAGAGGCAGTTCTTCCCTTCCCTATACAGGTATTAGGAGTCAGAATTGACCTGATAGCTGAGGTTTTTCCTAATCTTTATGGAAGCCAGACTGCCACATCTTTCTCCTGCTAAGTGACTGGTGGGTTCAACTAGTCAACTTTTGGTTCACAAGCAGGAGCTTAATTAACTGCCCTACTGCCTTCCTGTCCATACTCCAAACCCCAAAACCAGACTCACTGCTAGTTTCCGAGACCATGATTCTATGGGAGTAGAAAGCCTCAAATTTCCTCTGTGGTGGTTTCAAACTGCTGACCTTGCACTTAGCAGCCTAATGCATAACCACTGCCACCAGGTCTCCTTTCTATCCCTACTAAGTCTCTTCAAAGCCCCAAACCAGGTGGGCTGGGGCATTCCAATGCCTTTATTTGCCAAGGGTTTGTTTATCATTTGTTCATTTCTTACATTTCAAGTATTCAATGACATCCTTGTCTCAGATTTTTTAAAAAATCATTTTATTAGGGGCACATACAACTCTTATTACAATCCATACATACATCAATTGTGTAAAGCACATTTGAACATTCATTGCCCTCATCATTCTCAAAACATTTGCTCGCCACCTAAGCCCCTGGCATCAGCTCATTTTCTCCCTCCCTCCCTATTCCCCCATTAACCCTTGATAATTTATAAATTTTGTCATATCTTACACTGTCTGACATCTCCCTTCACCCACTTTCTGTTGTCCGTCCCCCAGAGAGGTTATATGTAGATCCTTGTCATCTGTTACCCCTCTCCACCCCACCCTCCCGGCATCGCCACCCCCACCACTGGTCCTGAAGGTATCATCCACCCTGAATTCCTTGTTTCCAGTTCCTATCTGTACCAGTGTACAACCCCTGGTCTAGCCAGATTTGTAAAGTAGAATTGGGATGATAGTGGGGGGGAGGGGGAAGCATTTAGGAACTAGAGGAAAGTTGTATTTTTCATTGTTGCTACATCAAACCCTGACTGACTCGTCTCCTAGCTGAGACCCTTCTATAAGGGGATGTCAATTGCCTACAGATGGGCTTTGGGTCTCCACTCCACACTCCCCCTCATTCACAATGATGTGATTTTTTGTTCTGATGATGACGACTGATACCTGATCCCTTTGACACCTCGTGATCACACAGGCTGGTGTGCTTCTTCC